CCCCCACCCCCGGCCCCACGTGCCCCCCGCCTGACACCCCATTACACCGCCCACACACCCGGAATTACAACGCATCGGCACCCGGCGCCCGACCCTGTAACCCGACGACCCTTTCTGCAGAACACTGGGGTGAGGTTACAATGAGAGGCAGTGTCCCATGGGATGTCCTTGCAGGGGCAGAGGGCGAGTGCTGAACTGCGTGGCCCACGCTGCAGGTCGCAGGGACAAACTGGGAACAAAGAGAGCCGCGTGCTAGGTGCAAGCACTCTTGTGCTGCTTGCTCGGGCATCTGGACGGGTGCAGGGAGCTAGATTATGGCAGGTGCTCTTGCCAATGTGCTGCTGGCTGCGCCGCAAGCAACGGTCGCAGATCGGCGGCCTTGTCGGGCCGCCTACATACATTCTGTAGAGGAGAGAGAGATTCGAGGAGACGAGTTCAGTCGCAAGAGGCATCGATCCCATCGGCTTTGGCGTGTCAGCGCCCTCGCCCCACGATCCAGGCACGCCGTTCAGTTGAGGCAGCAGCTGGCAACGCGCAGCCGGACTCTCCGGCACCATGTGCCTTGCGCAACGGGGTCCGCCGCAAACAGCGCTGTCCGCACAGTTTTTGTGTGTGAGGTTGTCTGCTGCCGCAATGCAGGCCGCCCAGCCTGTGGTCGGGCATCCCCTATGCGTGTGCGTCAGGTTGTGGCTGCAAACGAAGCCAGCCGTGGGAGCGCGGGTGTGCGTGGCAGACTCAGGGGCAGGGAGGTGCAAGGACTGCCGAGTGCGGGTTGCAGAGGCGTTCGGGGCACGCATCAATATGCCAGGGTTTCACCAGCCTGTGTGACGCCACACCATGCATTGGGCCGGTCTTTCACCAGCCGCATGTGCCACTGCATCAAACATCTTGCAGGCTTGACGAGTCAAGCACGCTGGTCGCAGTGTTTGGGGGGTTGTTGTGGTCAAAAGTGTGTTGACTTTGTTGGCAGCGCCTGCCTGCATTCGAGGGCTGGGTTGACAGCCCCTGTGACCAGGGCCTTGGATCTGGCGGTGCAGCAGCCCTGCCCCCCCGGCATGCAGGGAAGCGTTGTGCGCTCTCTGGAAGGCGCTCGCCGTGCGCAATCCGCCCACAACGCAGCAGGCAGACGATCAGAACAGAACGGAACGGAACGGAACAGAACAGAACAGAACAGAACAGAACAGAACAGAACAGAACAGAACAGAACAGAACAGAACAAAGCCGCCTGTCGCCCTGCTCAGAAGACTGGCTAGCAAGGGCTGCCTTGCATACCGCAGCCGCGTCAACAAGGTGCATGTGTTGCTGTGTCAGGGCAGATGTCCGCGGGCGCCGCTGCTTCCGCGCCCCTGTTTGTTAGCTGGCATCAGCCGGCTTGTGCCGGCAGGCGGGCGCATGAGTGCACGGCACGCCAGGGAGCCCCCGATGTGCCGCTCAGAACTCGTCGCACCACTCGTCAAACTGGGTCACCACCGCCATATGCGACGCCGGGGAGCCGCGGTACCCGTCGCTGGCGCCCACGCCCGCGCCGCCTGGTGGCAGGGCCCCAAGCCCGTCCAGCGGCTGCGGCCAGAGGTCTGGGCAGCCGGACAGGCACCCGTCCGCCGCGCCGCACGGGTCCCACGGCGAGGCGCTGCCCGCGCCGAGCGTGGCCAGCAGGCGCGGGGTGGGCAGGAGCGGCGGCAGCCCCAGCGGGGACGGCAGCGGCAGCAGGGCGCGTGCAGATACGGGCCGATTCTGCTGCTGCGGCTGCTGCGGCTGCGGCAGGGGGGCCGGTTGTGGCAGCTGTCGCGGCTGGCTGCCTGCAGGCTCCACCACTTGGACAAAGAGAGGCGGCGGCGCGAGCGCCCTGGCTGGCAGCGCAGGGGCGGACGCAGCCTGCGCCTGCGGCGCCTGCTGCGCCGCCGCGGGCCACCCTCCCGAGCCGTCTGAGGCGACAGCCCCCGTGGCCGACCAACAGGCAGTGCTGTCGCTGCTGTCCGCGCTCTGACCATCACCGTTGTTGGGCTGCAGCTCTGGGTGCGGCTGTGGCATGGCTGGCGCTGCGACAGTGGCGGCGCTTTCGGCGCCCTTGACGCACCCCGCTGTCCGCAGCGCCGCTGTGCGGCGCACAGCGCGACCGGCGGCGGGCTGGGCTGCGCCCAAGGTGGCGCAAGTGTTGCTGCCTCCGACTGGCGCCGCGTCCCATGCGGGTAGCGAGTGGCATCCGGCCAGTAGCCTGAAGCCGATCATGCCGCTCCCGCCACTCATGGGGATGCCGCTGGGGGCGCCGCAGCTGGTTGGCAGGGCCATCCCCACGGCTGCAGAACTGTGCGTGACGGCTGCGGGGGCTGTGCCAACGCGCACCGCGCAGGCCGCCGGCGGAGCTGTCCGCGCCCTCTTGGCGCAGGGCGCCGCGGGGTCAAGCGCAGCGTCTACCGCTCCCGCCTCTTGCTTCACTACCACCCCAGGCGAGAAGCGCCGCACCGCCCCGGCGCCGGCCGCGGGCCCAGCCCCGCTCGCAGGCCCAGCGCCGGCCGCAGCGCCGCCGGGCGGCGGCGGATTGTGCTCGCTGATGGGCGCGAGGCGCCGGATGTTAGCCATGAAGGGGAGCTGGTCGATGTATGCGAGGGCCTCCACCGCGCGCTGGTAGGAGAAGTTGAAGGCAGCGGCCTCGCCAAATAGCAGGAGGGCGGCGCAGTCATACACCTGTGAGGGCGAGGGGGGGCGCGACGGGTTCGGCAGGGATGAGCGGCGCGGAGTGCTGGCAAGAACTAGCTGTGAGCCGAAAACAAGAGCCTGATTCAGGACCTCTGGCCGTTCGCGACGGGGGCGTAGGGACGAGGGGCATTCGCAGAGTGGCAGTACACATGCGAGCATTCTTTCGGACAGTGCAGCACGTCGTACCCATGCAGGCAACATGCGGTAAGACTGACAAAGCATCAGGCAGCTATGCGGAGTGTGTGGAAGCCTCTCATTCGGCATACCTGCGCAGCGTGGTCTTCGTTGGCATGCCTGTGGACGGGTTGGGCAAAGCAGGCGAGGCCAGCCGACAGACCGGGGGTGCATTTCAGAGGGGGCCACACCAGGGTTGCATGGGAGTGGCGCGGCCATGTGAAATTCCGTTATGCCTAGACATGACCTGGGTGTTGATCAAGGATGATGCAGCGCCCCGTAGGTGCGGCGCATGCGAGCACACAGCGCGCGCGCCCACGCGCGCACAGCGCACAGCGCACAGTCTGCATCACCATCAAGGCCAGAAATGGGCGCCCTCGCACACCTGCCGAGGTGGTGCTGCTTGCCAGACAGGCTGACTCGGACGCGCCAACAGCCCTCGTGCTTGTCCCACGCGAGTCCCTTATAGAAGGAAGTGGGCTGGTTGCGCGGCGCCTTGCGCTTAGTATCGCTGCGATGTGACGCCGCTGCTTTGCCGCCCGGCGGGCGCGCCCCTTGCTGCATCGCTGCAGCTGCGTATAAGATTTCACTGATCCAACTTCAGGGCTTGTGCCGGGGATCAGGCACGCGCAGGGGCACAAGCCGCGGGTGGTCAAGTCAGCGCTGAGCACGAGCGCGGGATCGATCTAGGAGCCTGGATCCAGGTAAAAAGAAAATGAAAAGGATTTTGGTATCAATATACAACTGTCTTATCAATACACTTCGACCTCCCTCCTCACGGACCGCGCCACGTTCCGGCTCTTCGATTTTGCGTGTCACTCTCTTCGTCATCCATAAAATTTGATGCGCAACTACTGTACTCCATCGTGTTCTTGTGCTCAGTGTGTTGCATTACCCTCGGTGCAAGCTGTTCCCCAAGCTGCCCTCTGCAGTGCACCTCCTGCTAATGACATGCGGCTGCCAGGGGCCGTAACAGGCGAACACATGTGCATTTTCCGTATTTCATGCGAGCTTCAATCTGGGCACTGCAGGTGAAGGAGTCCCAAGCCTAAGTGCTCAGTGCCCCCGAACGTCAGTGCCTCCGGACTGCACACTGCACACTGCTGCTCTGCCGCTGCCCGTTTGATGACTGCTGATGACGGGTCTCAGATGAAGGCAAATACCGCGTCCCTGACGTAATATTTCAGCAGACATGTACGCAAATACGGCTGGTAGCTGATCCTCGTTTGATAGGGCCCGACCCGGACCCGGGGGGCGGGGGCGGCGTCGGATGAGCAGGCCGTTCAGCCACGCATGGAGGGGAGGGTGCCTTTTGACAATTGGCTTGGAAGATGTTTCCGTTGCAGCATCCATTCATTTAACTTGCTTGGCTCTGCCTGAATGTTGCCCGACACCTGTCTTGAGGCGTGTAGACCTTCGGTCCACCAGACTGGCCTCTGCGTTTGAACGCCCGAGCTTAGCAAGCGTTGAAACTAGAGCAAAGGCGCTGCTGCTCCTTCCCCGGCCTGTGATACCCACCATCTAAGTCTCAGGCCCTGGTGCACGGACTGCCCAGCATCAACTGGTCAACACAGCTTGTATGTGCTTGTTGCATACAAGCCTCTGTTGCTCGAACCCCGTGCCCTTGCCTAATGAAGTTCCTGCAAGTAAAAGTGCCATTCTTGCATTGAAGTCTTACCCTGGCTGCTTCTAGACGCAGCCGCAGTCGTCCCTCTGTCATGGCGGAGCGGCGATGGCCGCCAGGTGCAGGCCAGGTGGCAATACTGTAGATGACATGTGTAATGGTTGCAGTCCGCTACGCTGTGGTCAATGGCACATTTTGTGTTTTCGCAGCCGCCGTGTGAAAATAGCAATTCGCAGGGCACGGAAATCCAGATCACGACTCCGCAAGAGGAGGGGGCACAATGAAGGCCCATTGCAGCTCGTCTGCGTCAGGACGTGCCTGGAATATTCAGCGCTCGGCACACAGGCTCGCCCTGGCCAGTGTGCGGCCATACGCCGCAGCGAGCAGCGGCAGCACTGCAGTCGGGTGGGTGGGTGCCATGCAGGGCAGGTTCGAGGCAGGACGCCTGGCTAGCTGGCTAAGCCCCAGAGGAGAACCACGTATAGCAGTTGCAGCCATCGGCCATGCCCCAGCCCCTGCCGCCGCTACCTCTGCATGCGCGTAGGGCAGAGAGCTTCCAAACCACCCGGCACGTCTTGCCAGACGGCGTCGCGCTCGAAGTGGTGAAGCTGTCCGCGGCAGAGGTGCGGCCTGTGAGCATGCACGCGCAGGCCACAGAAGAGCAACGCGCCCACTGCAGGCCGCGAACGTGACCAGCCATGATCTGCCGGGCAGCCGCGCCGGCCCGACGTCGTTGCGACACGGGCCTGCAACGGAGGCCGCGCTCCAGCGAGCCGGCGGCGAGCAGTCGCATGTGCCCCGCGGCCCAAGCACTGTCGGCGGTTTGCAGGACATGTTTCGTTTCCTTGTTCACTCCACCTGGAGCAAGTGCACGCCTTGCACCTCCCTCCTTGCCCCACTTGGACCCGGGCACCCCCCTCTGCCCCTCCCCACAATTCCCCACGCCCAGGGCCCATCCACGCGCCCGCCGCTGCTGTTTGTCCACGGCTCCTACCATGCAGCCTGGTGCTGGCAGGTGGGAGCGGGTGGCCGCTGCAACTGCTCTGCAACGGCCCTGGTGCCTTGTCTTTGTGCCCAGATTTTGTGCTTTGTTGCACAAGAACCGTTGCAAAGCAGTCCGCGCCTCCCCACCTGCACCGGGCACGAATGCGTTTCGAACGCGTGCCGATTGTCCTGAACCCTGAGACCTTGCGCCTCACGAGCAGCTGAGGATCGTCATCAGCAGCCTACCTACAAATGAGACCTGCGAACACCCCTTGCCCAGCAGGCCCCAAATGCAACTGACATCAAATTCCCATTTGTGCCCCCAAACCCGACCCCCTTCTTTCTGCCACTCCACCACCCCAGGAGCATTTCATGCCCTATTTCAGCCGGGCGGGATATGATTGCTTTGCCATCTCGCAGCGCTGCCAGGGCGGCAGCGACCGGCCCGCAGGTGCGTGTGCGGTGCGCCGCGTTGCGGCGCCAGCAGACCCTCCATTAAACGGTCAGCTGGCCGCGAAAGGGCTGGGATCGCGTGGGGAGGCAAGGAGTCCTCAGTGTAGCCACTTCACAAATCTGAGATCTTGCGACCAGCTTTGCCACATTGCTAGCGCCTTCGGGAGCTTGGGGCGGGGGGGGGGGGGAGGGGCTGAGG